TCGTTAGCTTACTATATATGGCCTTATTTTCTTGTTGCTCATCCCTTCTCTGATAATGGATACTGCCTGCCGCTTTTTGCCATCGAAGGGATCTGCTTGGAGATTATCAATGGTCGTGCTATAACCACCAGTAACATGTCAGTGATTTGGAGTTTTGTACTGTTCTTGTTAACATAGATATATGTATATAAGCTTACATGACACATGAGAACAAACCATGTCTAGAGTAAGTCTGAGTTTTGCTACCATCTGGATATGACAGGTTTTACAGGCGATTCTGCCCTACCTAATCCTCCCTTAATGCCGCCTCCAGAAAATCCTCCTCCTCCTGCAGCAGCACCTGCAACAGAAAGTGTCTTTCATCTCAAAACAGGACCTATACAGAAGTCATGCACTCATTGGAAATCTCAATAAACATTTGAACAAAACCACTTGATTGCCTGCATTCTTGCAGAACGACACTTTGTTTCAATGGTGTTAAATTTACAATATATTGCATAGTGTATGATCAAACAGAAAGATGAAGCCTAAAGGGATCAAAGGCAAAGCAGACCTACCTCCAAAGACCTGCACTTCACAGAGTGTAAGGGTTTTCCCGGAGCCTTTCAGAGCTATGCCCACATATCGGCCGGTCCGTCCGCCACAGTCCACCGTGATGACGCCCTTGCCCCTGACGGACTGCGCTCCGCCACAGGTAGGGTTGGCCAGCAGTTCGGGGTTGTCGCCCACGTAAACCGTGAAGCCTTCCAGCCGTTCCGAGCAGCAGTCTTTCCGGTTGGTGACGACCACCCGATCCACACACTGGCTGGTGCCCAGGTCGACTCGCCACCACGGGTTGGCTTCGTTTGTGGTGTGGGTACAGGACCCGCCGGTCCAGAGGGGGCTACGGTTCCCATCCACAGCGCGGCCGGGAGCGCCTTCATATGCAGTACTCGACTGGGTCGCAGGGCGGTTCAGGCCGATGTTCGTGGTGCTTCCAGCTTTCAAAATGGAAAGAAGAAGTTGAAAAGATACACAAAAGGAATTCTTGGCTATCTGGACTTAATTTCGAGCAAGAGAAAAACACCACTGAAAAAGTCTACATAAACATGGGATAAAACTCTAGATTAGTGTATAATGTCATATTTCTGTGCTTTCTTGACCAAGACCAATCTTCCAGCTTGTACTTTGATCGGGTACTAGGATTGGATATCTGTTCTTATGTACCAAGAGGATGTGAATACAAAAGGTTTGAACACATGACGTTATCCATTAAGCTAATAAAATTATTTGTATGATGCACTTACCACATTGTCCACGGTTTCCTGCATTGCAAATAGAAAAAAACGTATTTAGAGTCTAAAACCTGAATTTTTTAAATCTTTTATTGGTGGTATCCACAACCCAGGACGGGTCCCTCCGCAGCCATGCGGCTGGAGAGGAGATCACAGGGTGGAAGAGTTGCACTCGATTGCAAAAACGCAGTGGGAAAGTAAACAGTTTGAGATTGTGTACAATTAGCATAGCATTATTGAAAATATTGTGTAAAAATATCAGCAGGACAAGGGTTGTCTCTAGGCTAACGACTTAAAAGAAGACATGTATTTCAAATGTCCCTGTTGACACACTGGCTTCCTGTTTTGTTTACAGTTTTAGCAATAAGTGAAGCCTCAAACTCCAAACTAGACTTCAATATTCGCCCTCCCTGTAACATATGGTTAGTAACCATCACCTGCTCCGGAGCCTCCACCCGTGCCTGCTGCTCCAATGCCGCTCCTCCGGAAGACCTGGTCCCCAGAGTTGACTCCCCAGACCTGGTTACTGGCGGAACTGACGTACACGGCACTCAGGCTTCCTGGAATCTGCTTCCAGCTGCTTCCGGTCGGGTTTCCAGAGGTGATTCCTGGAAAGGACAATGAAGGTTGAGCAGATAGAAAAATTGAAGACGTAAGAATCGTAAGAGTATTATATCCACATATTGCCATCCCTGTTAGGTTGATCAAATTTTGGGCTAAACTGTTCTTCCATCACTATGTAATAACCCTATCTACCTACGGTCTCCATATCTATCGTACTGTCCATCCCTAACAAGGTGTTCTGTAGGATCCTCCTCAAAAGGATTGACAGTGCCCTAGACACCAAGTTGAGAGAAGAACAAGCAGGTTTTCGTAAAGGTCGTGGCTGCTCAGAACAGATCTTTGCTCTCAAGAACGTCATTGAAAGATCTCCAAAGTCGCCCTTAGCTGGAGGCCAGAAGGAAAGAGGAAAAGAGGCAGACCAAAGACCACATGGAGGAGAACGGTGTCGGACGACCTTGCGGCCATGGGACTGTGCTGGAAAAGTGTTAACAACATGGCGCAGGACAGACCCAGATGGAGGAAGAAAGTCATGGCCTTATTTTTCACAAGGCACGAAGAGGATAAGTTAGTAAGTACCTATCGTATCCCACTACAAAGTGTCCACTAAGTACCT